ATTTCTTCTTTTATTTTTGTCTCTTTTGTTTGTTTTCAATTATACTTTACTTATTTGTTGATTGTGTGTGTCCAGGTGTGTGTGTGTGTGTGTGTGTGTGTGTGTGTGTGTGTGTGTGTGTGTGTGTGTGTGTGTGCTTGTGGAGGTTGAGGACAATCTTTGGGAGTCAGTTCTCTCCTAACATCAGGTGGGTCCTGGGGATAGAACTCTTGTCCTCAGCCTTGGCTTCAATCCCCCACCTGGTTTTGTTTTTCTCATTGCTGGGAGTTTTTGTTTGTTTGTTTGTTTGCTTTCAAGACAGGGTAGCCCAAACTGGCTTCCCACTCGTTATGACACCCAGAATGACCTTGAACTTCTGGTCCTCCTGCTTCTACATTCTGAATAAGTGAGGATTGTAGATGTACAACACCAAGTCGACACTCTGATGCAAAAGCAAAAGGTTCCATTTATTGTTCAGCTGGCCAGCCAGATCTTCTTCCATGGTGGAGGAGATGAGATGCCCACCAGCCAAAAGGAGAAGTTTTTTTTTTTAACAGGGGCAGACCATAAGACTGAAGGATGCAAATTTCAGTTTCCATGGCTACTTAAGGTCATACAAAGTACAGAGTAAAGCAGGAACTAAATATTTTAGTGTAAAAAGATAAATAAAAAAACAAAAAAGCTATATATTTTAAGCAAGATACATTTGGGTAAGATAAGACAGGGCATGGGTTTGCAGGGTTACTGGGGTCACAGGGTCTGCCAGCTGTCCCCTGGGCCTGGGGATCTTTACAGCTGGCAGGGGATCTGTATGACCAGCAATTAGCAAGGAATGTTAGCAGGAGTAGTAGACAGTTACCTCCCCTTCTCTGAGAGCAGGGGCTCAGGCACCCGCCATGGCACTCCTGATTTAAAGAGTTCCCTTTTCCATTAGAAGTTCCCTTTCTCTGTATAGATTTAGGGCCCGGGTTTTTAAACTTTTATTAATTTTAATTTTTGGTCCCTCACTAAGAGTTCTCATATAGATTAGGCTATCCCTAACCTTCCTATATGGCTGCTATGCTGATATTTACATATCATAAAATACATCCTTTTAAAGTATACAGTTCAGATGGTGGTGCACACCTGTCATCTTAGCACTCGGGAGTTAGAGACAGGAAGATCAGGAGTTCAAGGCCATCCTCAGTTATGTAGGCCAGCCTATCTTACGTGAGACTCAAAAAACAAAATGAAACTGCAGTGCAGAGGTTAATGGTTTCTTAGTGTGTTCACCATGACACTAATCCACAATAAACATGCTCATCCCATGAGCAGCCATTTTCTTTCTCACCTCTCCATCTAACCTCCAGAACTGGGAAAACAGAATCTGTTTCCTCCATAGCTTCACCTCTTTTAGACATCTCATTAGCTGGAACTGCACAATGCATGGTCTTTGTGACTTTTTTTTTTTTTTTTAAGCACAGCTCAATGACTTCAAGATCCATCCAGGAAGTGGCCTTCATTTGTACTTTTCTTTTTCTTTCTTTCTTTTTTTTTTATTCGATTTTATTTTATGTGCTTTGGTATGAAGGTGTCAGATTGCCTGGAACTGAGATACAGACAGTTGTAAGCTGCCACATGGATGCTGGGAATTGAACCTAGGTTCTCTGAAAGAGCAGCCAGTGCTCTTAACCTCTGAGCCATCTCTCCAGCTCTCTACTTTTCTTTTTCATGGGTAGATAATATTCTTTTTTGTTTGTTTCCTTGGTTTTTTGTTTTTTCCAAGATAGGGTTTCTCTGTGGCTTTGGAGGCTGTCCTGGAACTCACTCTTTAGACCAGGCTGGCCTTGAACTCACAGAGATCCGCCCACCTCTGCCTCCTGAGTGCTGGTACTAAAGGCGTGCGCAACCACCACCCAGAGTTTGTTTGTTTTTGAGACAGGGTTTCTCTACATAGCCCTGGCTGTCCTGGAACTCACTCTGTAGACCAGGCTGGCATCAGGAATCCACCTGCCTCTGCCTCCCAAGTGCTGAGATTAAAGGTGTGCACCATTACTGTAGAAGTAAAAAAAAAAAGTGGGTTTTTGTTTGTTTGTTTGTTTTATTCATTTGGTAGATAGACTTCTCAGATGTTTCTAGCTACTATAAACATTTATGGATGAATTTCTGTGTGGATAGTTTTCAAAACCTTCTCTTGGGTGTGCAGTCAGTTATGGGCACTTAAGTGGGTGGGGGCTGGGAAGCTGCATCTGCCCTCAAAGTGGAGATGCTATTCCTCCTTACTCCCTAAGCAGTACAGCACGGCAGCTACTTCCACCACATTTACATTGTATCAGGTGCCACAAGTTATAAGTTACAGTGGACAGCAGTGGGAGGCTGAGGGAGGGGGGCTACCAAGACATCAGGGCCAGCCTATGCTACAGACTGAGACCTTGTCTCAAAATAGAAACAAATCCACTAAATTTAATTTTAAAAAAATTTAAATTTACTCTATGTGCATTGGTAATTTTGCTTGCACGTGTCTGTAAGGGTATTGGATTTCCTGGATCGGAAGTTACAGACAGGTGTGGGCTGCCATGTGGCTGTTGGCAACTGAACCCGGGTCCTCTAGAAGAGCAGTCAGTGCTCTTAACCACTGAGCCATCTTTCTAGGCCCGATTTAAAAACTTTAAAGTACATAGGAAGCTCAGGGCTCTGGGTTCAATATATAACAGCACTTTTGGATATACACACACATATGTACACACATATGCACACACATACATACACAAGAGTTTGGGAAGTGTTTGCAGGTTCTAGGCAAATGTACTGTTTTTTATATATAGGAATCTATGAAAACTTGTATCTTTTCGATTTTTTTTTCTGAGACAGGGTTTTTCTGTGGCTTTGGAGGCTGTCCTGGAACTAGCTCTGGTAGACCAGGCTGGTCTCGAACTCACAGAGATCCACCTGCCTCTGCTTCCCGAGTGCTAGAACTAAAGGTGTATGCCATTATAGCCTGGCCTTTGTGATGTTTTAAACTTTGTTTTTTTTCTTTTTTGAGACAGGTTTTCTCTGTGTAGCCCTAGCTGTCCTGGAAAACACTCTATAGACCAGGATGACCTCGAACTCACAGAGATCTACCAGCCTCTGCCTCCCAAGTGCTGGGATTAAAGGAACACACCATATTATTACTATTGTTTATTTTACATGTTTGGTGTCTTGCCTACATATATGTTTGCATACCATGTGCATGCCTGAGCCCTCAGAAACTAGAAGAGAATGTTCTGTCCCCTAGAAGTTGAGTTATAGATGGTAGTGAGTGTCCATGTGAGTGCTGAGAATCCAACCAAGTCCTGGAAGAGCAATCATTGCTATACATTGCTGAGACATCTCTCCAGCATCCCTCTTCCCTTTGTTTGTACATTGCTGAGACATCTCTCCAGCATCCCTGTTCCCTTTGTTTTGTATTTAGGATTTTTTTTTTTTTTTTTGGTTTTTTGAGACAGGGTTTCTCTGTGGCTTTGGAGGCTGTCCTGGAACTCGCTCTGTAGTCCAGGCTGGTCTCGAACTCACAGAGATCCGACTGCCTCTGCCTCCCAAGTGCTGGGATTAAAGGCGTGTGCCACCAACACCCGGCTGTATTTAGGAATTTATTTTACTTTTCAGGTATGTGTGTTTAAGTACATGGTTATGCAAATACTATATGTGTGCAGGTGCCCAAGGAGCCCAGAAGTATCAGATCCCCTGGACTGCAGTTACATGTATTTGTGAACCACCCAGCATGGATGCTGGGAACTGAGCTATGATTCTTTGTAAGAGCAGCAAGTACTCTCTGCCACGGAGCTATCTCCCCAGACCTTACAGTTTGTTTTTTTGTCTGTTTGTTTGAGACAGGATTCTGGTTTGTAGTCCAAACTGGCCTTGAATTCTTGACCTTCTGTCCTTACCTTCTTCTGAGTGGTCCACACTGAGCTCTGGACAATATTTCTTCCTAATAAAGTGTTCAAACCTTAATGCCAATTGGATTGTGCTCTTGGCTGTAAAGGGTCACGGTCATGTCCCTTTATTTTTCCTGCCTATGGATGGGATAGTAAGAAAGGAGCACCCAGGAGATTTCCCTGGGATCCATTCTTGCTCCTTTCCATTGTCTTGGGGAAGGAGCAATGACTCAACCCATCTAGACTTGAGACCAGTCAGCACAGCTGATCCTGCAGGGAGCAGAGCCTAGCCAATTGGAAGGCTCAGCCTCAACTGACCAGAGTCATCAAAAGCCAGTGCTGGCTGCTGGAGATGTGACTCAGTAGTAGAGTGCCTGGCTAGCATGCAGAAGGCCCTGGACTCTGCTCCAGTGCTGCAAACCAAACAGAACCCACAAACATTAAAGCCTGGGCTGTCTGGTGCCATAGTGAAGAGTCATCGGCCACCTGCTTCAGAGTGTCCCTTCTGTGTGTGGAAGAACTCAGAGGCCCTAGGCATGGGCTGATGGAAGGGTGACAGTGATGCCTGAGCAGGCTGCAGCTGCAGTAGCCATCTTCTCAGAGCCTGTTTGTTCTCGTCAGGGTATAAATCCCACCTTCAAATGACAAGGAAGAACTGGGAAGCAGCTGTGGCAAGTTGGCGACAGCTGGCCGGGATGCTTTGGTCATCTGTTATCTGATGCCGGTGCTGGGCTGCAGGGATGCTTTGGTCATCTGTTATCTGATGCCGGTGCTGGGCTGCAGGGTATGGTTGGTTAATCCAGGCACTCGGGACAGCCAGGGCTACATAGAGGGACTTTGTCTTGAAATGCAAGCAAGCAAACAAACAATAATAATGTAAAAAATAAAAACAAAACCCAAGCAAACTAGGATTTCAGGCTGGAGAGAGATGGCACAGTGGTTAAGAGCACCAGATGCTCTTCTAGAGGACCTGGGTTCAATTCCCAACACCCACATAACAGCTCACAAACAACTTTAACTCCAGTTTCAGGGGACCCAACACCTTTTTTTGGCTTCCTTGAGGACCAGGCATGCAAATGGTGCACAGACATACTTGCAAGTGAAACACCCACACACATGAGATAAAAATTTTAAGGGTTTATTTATGTAAGAGTGCTTTGGATGCATGTACACCTGCACACCAGAAGAGAACACTGGATTCCATTACAGATGGCTGTGAGCTACCATGTGGTTCTGGGGCTTAAACTCGTGACCTCGAGAAGAACAAAATAGCCTGTGCGCTGAACTGCTCAACCATCTCTCCAGGCCCTAAAATAAATAAATAAATAAATTATAAAAAAAAGAAAGATGCCGGGTGGTGGTGGCACACGCCTTTAATCCCAGCACTTGGGAGGCAGAGACAGGTGGATCTCTGTGAGTTCGAGGCCGGGCTAGACTGACAGCCTCCAAAACAATACAGAGAAACCCTGTGTCATAAAACCAAAAAAAAAAAAAAAAAAAGAAAAGAAAAGAAACCTAAAATTCAAAAACCTAGGACCCTCTACTGTGAGGCATAACACAGCTATACTTGGCCTTGGCATCCTTGGCATCTGCTGTAGAAAACCAGCACCTTGTGGGACCTGAAAGTTCTCTAGGGTCCGGTGGCAGAGCTTGTACCACACGCACCAGGTGCAGAGTTAGTTTTCTCTTGATCAGCGCTTTGTACAGAGCTGGGAACATTTTTTTTTAAAGACAGAGTCTCATGTATCCCATGATAGCCTTGAAGTAACAGTGTAGTGAAGGGTGACCTTGAACTTCTGATCCTCCTGCCACCACCTCATGGGTGACACTTGCAGGCATGTACCACCTTGCCTGGTTTATATAGTGCTAGGGGCTTTGTACATGCTAGGCAAACACTCTGCCACCCGAGCTGTATCCCTGGCCCCCGAACTTTTAGATACCTAGAAAATGGGTTGGAACAGTGTAGGGGCTGAAATCAATGTAACCCTCAAATCCCTGGGGACTTGCAGAGCGCTGTGCCTTTTTGGCAGTGGGAGATGTAAGCTACACTGCCATGCACTTTGGACATGTTCATAACATCAGGTCCCAGAGCTCTTATTGAGATGTCAGTCCTTGGTATTTTCCTGGCATCTCTGTCACATTTAGGGTACTTGCTCATTTCTATTCCCTGGCCCCTGCAGCATGATGTCATCAGGATAAGGTGGAATAGTGTGGTATCTTGGGAAACAACGACGTGTAAGAAGTCTGAGAGGTGAAGAGCTATCAAAAGAGCTAACAGCATCCCAAGACAAGACGGAGCCGGCGATCTGATGACCCTGATGGATGAGAGCAGTTTCTGATCTGTTCTGCTCCCTAGAATAGAGAAAAGGCATTTGCCAGCGCAGTAAGTGCCTACCAGGTGTCGGGAGTGGAATTTATTTTCTCTATCAATGGGACCACGTCAGAAATAGCAGCTGCAACTGGAGTTACCACACAATTAGGTTTATGGACCCAGCTGCCACCTTCACTAGCCAGAGTGAAGAATAAAACAGGAATTTAGTAAAATCATCGTCCCAGAGTCTTTCAAAGCCATGATGGTAGGTATTTTGTTTTTGAGGGGTAGATTATTGGCTTTTCTTTTTTTGGGGTTTTTTGTTGTTGTTGTTGTTTTTTGTTTTTCGAGACAGGGTTTCTCTGTATTGCTTTGGAGGTTGTCCTGGAACTCACTCTGTAGATCAGGCTGGCCTTGAACTCACAGAGATCCGCCTGCCTCTGCCTCCTTAGTACTGGGATTAAAGGCATGCGGCACCAACGCCCTGCTGGCTTTTCTTAAATTATTTCTATTTTATATGTATGGGTGCTGTGCCCACATGTGTGTCTGAACTATATATAGATGAGCAGGACCCACGGAGGTCAGAAAAGGGTATTCTATCCCTTAGAACTGGAGTTACAGATGGTAGTTAATTGCCATGTGGGTGCTGGGAATCGAACTTGGGTCCTTTGAGAGAACAGCCAGTGCCCTTAACCACTAGGCCATCTCTCCACTTCCCATCTCTCTTTTGAGAACGGGTCTCATGCTGCCATGGCTGACCTTGAACTCATTATGCTGAAGATGACCTTGCATTTCTGATCCCCCTGCCTCAACCTCCTTAGTGCTGGGATAAGTGATGTATACCATCCTCTGCTAATTCATGCGATGCTGGGATGAAACTCAGGGCTTTATGCGTGCAAGGCAAATCACTGGCCAACTGAGCTACAGCCTCAGCCCCTTGTGGGTTTTGTTGTTCTTCTTGTTATTGCTAGAGATAGAATCCTACTTTATAGTAAACTCACTATGTTGCCCAGACTTGAGGTGATCCTCCTGCCTCAGTCTTCCTTTGGTGCTAGGATTACAGGCATGAGACACCACAGCAGCTTCCTAATATTACCAATATCTTCAATTCCTTGGAGGAAGCCAGATTTCTTTTGTTGATCGATCAGGAGTTTCCACTTGGCTTTGCTCATCGCCAGATCTCTTAGTCTGCCAAACTGAGAGCCAATGTAGTAATTCTGCCAGTGCCTGGGACATCTATTCCAGGCATGTAACTAGAGGCATTGAAATAAATAGGTTTGGAGAGCCACAGGGCCTGCTGTAACACCATTCCAGTCAAGTCCATTGATTAGTTGATTCATCTTAACGCTGTTCTGACAGTAGATCCCAGTGGAATCCTGGTCAACAAAAATTCCTATTAACCAAGAGCCATTGCCTGCTTATCAACAAAGGGCCCAATACTGAGCTTCTGCTGCATATAGTCATCCTGGAAGATGGGCTTAGACCCCAGAAGAAGGGCTGAGTCAGATTCACAGGTCAAGCCTGTATCATTGCAACCTCTTTATGCGTGTGCAAGCATGCGTTAGACATCAAACCCAGGGCCTCAACATACTAGGCTACATTCCCAGCTCCATTGTCCCTTCCTGGGAATATTCAGGCTCCATTTCTTCAAGGGCTCTGGAGTAGTGACTGGCTCATGCTTGGACATTGGGAGACAGACAATTATCGTGGAGAAGGTCAAACTCTTGTGTACCACACCTGAAGGATTTCATTTATTTCTTTTTCAGTGCTGGAGGTGGAACCTGGGGTTCTGTGCACACTGGGTAATTGATCTACCACTGAACTGTACCCCCAGACCCTGCAGTTTTTCATGTGCAAACAAAGGCAGCAGGCAGGCTGCTGTTTGTTCCAGGGCCCCTGCGATGAGCTAGGCACACTATTTTCTGTGCTGAGACTATCCTGCTGACTGCCCCAGCCCTGCCTACCGTGAAAAACCCACTTACCTCCCTTCCCTAAAGAATGCCGGGCTCGGTTCCTACCACCTCAGAGTCTATGGAGTGGGGGAAGTCACTCCAACTCCCACCAAAAGCTCCCACCAAGGGCTGATCAAGGGTGCTAGCATTTCCTCTTCTTCTTTTTTTTTATTTTTATTTTTTGGTTTTTCGAGACAGGGTTTCTCTGTATCATTTTGGAAGCTGTCCTGGAACTCACTCTGTAGACCAGGCTGGCCTTGAACTCACAGAGATCCGCCTGCCTCTGCCTCCCAAGTGCTGGGATTAAAGGTGTGGGCCACCAACGCCCAGCTTAGCATTTCCTCTTCTTCTAAGAGACTTCTTAAGGTCTTACTTTTCCAAGAGGTCAACTTTTAATATGAGGGAAGCCACGTCAATGTTGGGGGTTAGTTTTATCTTGAAGGCAACAGGAAGCCACTAACCTGTTTTCAAAAGCAGAGTAGATGGATGAGGTTTACATTTTCACAGCTCCTGCTATTTGGTAGAGAATATATTAGAAGAGGCCAGGTAGGAGTAAGGGAGAATAAATGATTCTCAGATGCAGCGATGCAAATAGGCCTTAGAAGCATGCAGACTGCAGCTGGGTTCTGGGAAGGACAGAGTAGTGGGTATCCACAAGAGGGATGCATGGAAGCCTTACGATGCCTTGGGCAGGGCAGATAAGTGGGTGATATGTAGACATCAGGGAAAAAGAGTCCATGGCTATAAATAGGATTGTCTTTTGTTTTGCCTACATGTATGTCTGTGTGAGGGTGTTGGATCCCGTGGAACTGGACAGTTTTGAGCTGCCATGTGAGTGCTGGACATTGAAACTGGGTCCTCTGAAAGAACAGCCAATGCTCCTAATGCCACCTCTTCAGCCACCAGACTCTACCTTTTTAATGATTTTACTGGGGATGAAGAATAGACAAGAGCCAGAATGATTGGAGTAGGTCAAAGTTCTGTTCCTTAGAGGAGACCGGAGACAAAAGCAGCCTTCTCCAGACATTTTGATGATGCCAATTATAAAGCTCTATCTCCAAGCACCTTGTCTGGGGAAGTAGTTTAGACTCTCTGGCCTTCAGCATGCTTGGTGAACAGGCAGTGAGGAGAACTCAAATCTAGGGACATTTATCCAAAGATGCTTCATGCTGCCCCCGAAATTACACTCTTCGAAGCCAGGAACACCTTGTTACCTTTGCACATTCATCCAAACCTGAGAGCACAGTCATCAGCCCTTTGTGTCAATGAACAAAGTAGAACACAAGCTGCTGGCCCTGGTTGTGTTAAACAATAGCAGGAATGAGGCTTGGAGGCAGAGCTCCGTTCTGCACCGGTGAAGTCTCTTCAATTGTCCTTCCTCTCTGGTTGCATCAAGCCTCCAGCATCTTCCCAGTGTCTTAGTGTTCCCCTTCCCCGAGTCTTCTAAGTGGATGGAAGGAGCCATAATACTCAGAATTAGATGAGGTTTCAACTCATCTGAGCCCAACAAAATGGGGACTTTGCCATTGGGATTTCACTAAGAAAAAGGACTTGTTACTCAGTTATGAGGAGTGGGTTCAACTCTGTCCCATGCCTTTTCTGGTTCTGTCTCTGGTTTGTTTTGCTTAAATAGGAATATTGGCAAGTTATAATTGCATACATTTACAGCTACAAAGTAGCTTTATGACATGCTTATTCATCCAGTTCCATCGTTACATGGAGCTAATTACCCACTACCTCAGAAGTACCCTGCCTGTGACAATGTATCCTTTGACTAGTATCTCTCCAGTATCTTCTCTGGTCCTCAGTCTCAGGTAACCATCACACTGTGGTCTATTCCTGAAACCTCATATGGTTGTTACTGTAACGAGGTTCATCTGTGTTTTAACAGTTTTCCTGTTCTTAAGGCTAAGTTGCATTGCAGTATGTACATATGCATTACAGTATAATATATACATATATACATACACATATGTACATACATATGTTGTATATGTACATACAGTAGATGGACACTCTCCATATCTTGTCCATTCTGACTAGTG